TATTTTTGGAGTATTAGACACTGTTTATCCATTTTGATTATAACAATGCATGTGTTCCTGGGGTGAATATCAGATTACTTAGCATCCGAAGATTTCATAAAGTAATGTTGCTGTGATAGCTTTCCACTAATGAAAGTTAATGAGAAGAGAGTTTGTTGAAAAAGATTTACAGGTGTTAATAAAACAGCACATAAGCAAGTCCCTGCTATTCACAGTCTACTCATCTATATACCCAAGGAAATAATGAAGTCTTTTGATTTTTTCCACAATTCCTTAATGATATTCTAATTTTCCTCTTAACATTTAATATTTCGCTTTTTATTTAGTGCCAGAGATGAAAGAATTAAAACTCTAGCAGTGCACAATTTCCTACCTCACTACAAATTTTGCTTTTCACTTCCCTACCACTGCCAAACCACTAATACTTCTAGAATATTTCAGCAGCAATTTTTTTAAAAAGGAGGTAAATTGGTCTAGAATTGTGTTTAGAAATAAGTATGCATTCAAACATTTTTACTAAAAAAAATATCCAATTAGTTTTGCTTTTAGTATATCTGAACTAAATGTGAAATGTAATGGAATGTTTTTTTTTTTTTTTTCTTTTAAATTACCTCTCTGTCAATCTGATGTAACCTATTCTTCTGAAGGTTTGTAATTAGATTGGAGAGGGGGAAGAGGTGAATCTCAAAGGCAAGGATCTGCTTGTCTGACAGTATCCTTGACCTGACTTCCAGAACTGGCTGTGTAACAGAAATGCAAGTCTTGTTGAGCTCTGTGAGTTGCTGAACAAGAGTAGAGCCTGCCTTTGGTTTGATCATGTGTGCCTTGGCTTGAGCTGCCTGGCATCCTACTGACATCCTTCCTATCTTTGACACCTGTGTACCTGTGATGTTTTATAACGGACTGTTTATTGACAGAGGACAAAAGAGCTGGGAAATTACATTCACTTTAATTGAGTACTTATTTAAAGCCTTCCAGTTTTAATGAAAGTTCAAGGTAAGTTTTGCAGCAAAAAAGTGTGCAGAGCTTCTTTATAGAGTGATGACTAGTTCAATTTGTAAATAGTAGGTGCTTAATAATAAAGCTGAGGAAGGCTATGTTAGCAAGAGGGCAGCTTCTGCTTTCATTTTTGCTCAGTGATCTTGGCAAATCAAGGCACAAACTCAATTTATTCATGCATTGATTTTGTAAAAGATGTCATGAGCTTCAGTTTTTATCCTTTATTCCGTATTTGCAGGTTGACTCATAGACATTTTATTTTATTCTAGTTTGGGGTAAGAGAAAAGAAAGCTTAAAAATAGTTACCTCAAAGTCTAGGTCAGGCTAAAGTGAGCTGTTAGCCACTCTTGGGAAGTGCAGATTGTCTTACATGTCACCTTTGCTCTGTCAACATGGTCTTGCTTTTCTCATCCTCATACAGTTTTGTTTATTTCAAGAGCAGTGTGGGATGGTTCTGGTGCTAGCAACAGTTTGACACTTGGTTCCTGGCTAGTCCTGCTTAGAAATGAGCCTTTTATGGCCCTCTGCAGAGTCCAGGCTGAGGTGTCGCCCTTCTTTGGAGTCCAATCACTGGCATTTCCCCGCATTAGGATGTTAATATATTTCTAGCATATGTTTAATTTTCCATGTATGCTTATATAGACACATATTTCTTCTGGATAGATTGTAGATAGCAGTGGTTGAGGATATCACATTTTGATGCCCAAAACTACTTTAAAATAGCTAGGAGTTTGCAATGTAAGTCTGCTTTTATTATTATTATTATTATTTAATTGTTTGTACTTTCCTGTTATTTTATCAGTGATGAAACTGAGATCATTGAATGAAATCATCCTAAAGACCAATAGAAAATTGTCTGGAGATTTTGTTCTTGTAATGAAGGTAGTTTACCGTAAGATCCATTTTGAGATTTTTTTTTCAGGCTTTTGATAGGCCTTTTATTTTTAAGTTTATTATTTTTAATGTCTCTCATCAGAATATAAGTCTCCCCCCCCCCCCGCTTCCTTCCTTCAGCCCTCCTAGTCCCCATCCTCCAAATCTTCTAATGCCCTTCCCCCACTTTCAAGTTGATCATCTCTTTTGCTTTTCTGTTAAATATACACACATATATGTGTGTACACAAAGAGTTATAAATAGAATCTGCTGTGTCTATCTTTGGTGTTTGTGGTTTCAAGCTGACCACTCTGTACTGGTCAATCCATAAGGAGGCTCATCCCTAGGAGAGGCTGATTCTCTTCCCAGTAGGCAATAGTTGCCTGTAGTCCTTTGTGAGGATGAGACCATTCACAAATTGTTCCATCTCCATGTTAACATGTCCATGATAGTACTATTGTTCCTGTCCTATTTCCAGGAGAGACTGTTTCACAGCATACTTCTTGGCATTCTGGCTCGTTTTCCATGATAATCCCTGAGCCATAGATGTAGGAACTCCTCCCTATAATATTTGGATCTCTGCATTGTATCCAGTTGTGCTTTTCTGTGATGGTCTCCATTTGCTGTAAAGAGATACTTCTTTGAATGAGGAATAGTAGTTACACTTCTCTATGGGTATAAGGATAGGATTTAGAATGAAGTAAGGAATTACACTTGTCTAGCAAAGTGACAGTAGAAGATTCTTTTCTAAGGTCCATGATCTCACTAGCCCCAGAAAGCTGGCTAGGTTTCAGCACCAGGTATGATTTCCCTCCTGGTGAATGGGCTGTCAGTCTAATTAGACAGTTGTTTATTGACACCTTTATGTATATCTAGCCATGCTGGTAGTTGTCATGGTTCATAGGTGTTGTAGCTGGGTAGGACTGTTTAATTGCTTATGTCTTTTGGCAGCTTGCATAGCATTTTCTGGAACCATGAAAGCTATACTGGAGGGAAGACACTTTCAGGTCAGATTCAACTTGAGTCATCTGAGTCTTGTGTCCCAGGGTGCAGTGTTCTTCAGCTCTGGGGACCCAACCCCTCAGAGGCAACCAAGGGCTTTATTGTTCATCTTCATTACTTTGGAAGTCACTGGAACTATCCTGACCAACTCTTCAAAATGAGGTTTCTTGTCTCTGGTAGTGGGGTTTTTGTTGGTTTGTGGTTTGGGGAAGAACACTGTCAGTCCAAATGGTTTAATTTCCTCATATATATACATGTATGTATACATGTACGTGTATGCATTATGTATAGTTTTAGGCAAATATAAAGTAATGTGATTCCTTGAAGCTTAGTCAACATTGGCAATATTTTTATTTATCCCTCATCCTCCATCTGTTTTGACCTTTCTTCCTCCTTACCAGTAGGAGCCCCTTCCTTGTTTCCCACGTCATATCACCTACTCTAACCCTTCTTTTCTCTACCAAGGGCCTCCCTGCCTGAGGCCTCTTCATACTTTTCTGGTGTCTGCGGTTACTACATGTTGTGTACTCAGAGCTGAGGAGTTGAGCCTAGGGAACTACTGACAAGAGAGAACATGTGGTAATTTGTCTTTCTGGGTCTGGATTACCTTATTTCTTTTTCTTTTTTTTTTTTTTTTTTTTTTTTTTTTTTTGCATAGAAAATGAGGCAGGTGGTATTGTTAGTTCTGCTTTTATTTCTTTCAACAGGCAACAACACTAAGCCTTATACATTTATAAGCACTAAGTCATTTGACTTTAAATCTCAAACATAGTTGTACACATTAAACCCAGTAGAGACACACACTCACACCCCATCCTAAGATGTGCTGCTGCTTAGGTTGTTTTCTCCTTTATGATTGGTCTTGGGCTTGTTATTTTTAGGATGCGGTCATTTTAATGGTGACTATTTGCTAATGTCCCTGCTTAGGACTTCCCTACACACTACACAGTAATAGCTCATGCTTTTTAAGCTGAAGCTGTAAGCAAACTTGCCCAGTCCATGGGAAGAATTCTTTCTCTAGAGAATATCAAGCACACTTCTCTCCAGGAGTGGTGTCAGCTCCCAGGCATGTCCTGGGCTCTGCTCAGTATTTATTTTAACAGGTGCTGCTGAGCCCCTGTTATGTGGCTAGCAGAGGAAGGAGCTCTGCACAAAGGCACTTCCCTAACACTGGATCATTGGAATCTAACAGGAGACCATATATGCAACTGGCAAAATGAACCCAGATGTTAAATGCTCAGTTCAGACTGTACCAAACTTACTTGTGGTGATATTTTTTTTGTGATCTAACAAATAAAGCTTGCTTGAAGATCAGAGTGCACAGCTAACCACACTAGTTAGCCATAGATGCCAGGCAGTGGTGGCTCACACCTTTAATCCCAGTACTTGGGATCACATGCCTTTAATTCCTAGGGAGACAGAGGCAGGAGTGATAAGGTTGGGTGGATAGAGGAATGAACATAGGTGGGAGGAGTTGGGAGCTCATTGCATTCAATCTGAGAATTTGTAGGGACAGGATCGCCCCTTTGGTCTGAGGATTCAGGAGAGGTTAAGAGGTCTCTTGGCTGGCTGTTTCTCTGACCTTTTGGCATTTACCCCAATATCTTAACTCCAGGTTTTTATTATTAAGACCTAGTAGAACTTGTGCTATACTTTTTCCTAAAAATTTCCATAGAAAGGAAGAATTTTTTACATTTTTCTAAGCATTTCTAGAAAGCTAACTTTGGCATATTTTCTTTCTCTTTTTCTGTGTGGTGTGTGTGCATGTATTGATGTCAGGGTCAGCTTTGGATCTCTTCTGTCATCCTGCACCATATTTTTTAAGTCAGGGTCCCTCCTGGAACCTGGAGGTTTCCATTTTAGCTGCTGAGGGATCTGCTTGCTCTCCACAACCCTGGTACTTCGGCTTACAGGTGCAGCCGCCACACCTGTCAGGGATCCAGAGGCAGGTCCTGAGGCTTGCGTGGCCTGTTGTTCATCATCTTTCTAGCCCTAGACTTACTGGTTTCTTTTTAGGTACTTGGGGTTTTAAGATTTCAGAATATTTAGGACATTTAGGGTAACAATGAAGAAGAGACTACTTAGATCACAAATGTTTACTTGCTATTTGTTTGATTTCTTGTCAGGGGTGAAAGCTTGTTTGCGCAGCAAAGTCCGTGAACAGGAAGAAAAGTACGAAGTTCCTGGAGGTCCGCAGAAGAGCAGGCTCAACAGAGAGCAGCTGGTATTTCTCTTTTACATACTACTTGCTTATTCTTATGGCTTTACATCATTATCACCATAGGGAAAACTTTGCCCTTTCAGCTAGTACAGGTGACTGGTTAAAATTTTAATTGTGCTTATTTCAAGCACTTGATTCTGAAAGATGATCACAGTGTGGAGTAAAATCCAGAAGGTAATAATTTCACACTGTTAATGGATTTTTGGCATCTTGAACATTTCCATAAAGTGTTCAGAATTGGAGGTAAATCTCAGATACAGGAAGTAGCTTGAAAGAAGACTTACAGCTGCTGTTCGGATTTAGTTACCATATGTCTTTATTGCTCCATATCACAGTTTTAATAGACAACATTCCATTATTCTCTCTCTCTCTCTCTCTCTCTCTGTGTGTGTGTGTGTGTTATAGAAACGACAAAGACATTTTTTAATTGGATTTGTAGTTGTGACTTCATATTCTGCTTGCATACTGACAACACATCTCTGGAACCCGAGGACACACTCCTACCATGGCTTCCCAGGAGGCCTTCAGTAGCATGTAGGGCCCTGAATGTAGAGGAACAAAACTGAATTGTCTGTGGCACAGTTTAAATCCAGTCTGGCATCACTAAGGCTTACTTTGGATGTTTTAGAATTTAGAAGATTTAGATCCTACCCATGTGTACAAGCATCCTGATGAGTTGTATTTATTTTTCTTAATTATTTGGACAGGGTCTCATTATATAGTACAGGCTGACCTTGAACTTGCTATATTCTTTCTTGGCTAGCCTTAGTGCTAGGATTATAAGTGTATACTGCTATGCCTGGCTACGGGTTGGTTTTTTGTTTTTGTTTTTTTACTAAAAAGCACATCTGAAAATTAGATGCAAAAAATTATATATGAGAAACTCTTATTTTCATGGCTGGAGAGATGGCTCAAGAGTGCGGAGCACTGGCTGTCCTTCCTGAGGACCTAGGCTCAATTCCCGGCACTTACATGGCAGCTCACAACTGTCTGTAACTCCAGTTCCAAGAGATTGGAACATATAGACACACATGCAGGCAAAACACCAATGCCCATGAAGTAAAAACAAATAAATCATTAAATTAACAAAAAAAAAAAATGTATTTTTGTAAGTATGCTTTCCTGATCCAGTTTGTATGATTGAAATACATTTTATGCCAGTAGCTCATTAGGATACTTCTTACTGACTCATGACTGTCATTTTTATGTCTTACATTCATATACAGTATTTTAAAAATATTTTGATCTACTTTTAACAGTTGTTTTCTTGACTTTTAACAATTGTTTTCTTGATATTTCAGTTGCCAAAGCTGTTTGATGGATGCTACTTCTTTTTGGGGGGAACCTTTAAACATCATCCAAAAGATGACCTCCTCAAGCTCATTGCTGCAGCAGGAGGCAAGGTGCTCAATAGAAAGCCCAAGCCAGACAGTGATGTGACTCAGACCATCAACACTGTTGCATACCATGCCAACCCTGACTCTGATCAGCGTTTCTGTACACAGTACATCGTCTATGAAGATCTGTTTAATTGTCGCCCGGAAAGGGTCCGGCAGGGCAAAGTCTGGATGGCTCCTTCCACCTGGCTTATCAGCTGTGTAATGGCCTTTGAATTGCTTCCTCTTGACAGCTGAGTGTCATACAGTGATCATTTTAAGTTAACACATGAGAACGAAGCCATTGTGATGTCTTTGATCATTCACATTTTTATGTTTAGGTAGAGACACTTATATTTTCCCCCTTTGAATTACAAAATAAAACAATTGGTGTTAGATGGGGAATTGATTTAGATGCCTAAATTGCTTTTAGAATTTTTTTTAGTTCTCTTGAGGTTGGGGCTGTAACTCAGTGGTAGATTCTTCATGAACCGTGCTTGAGGCTTGGGGTTCCACGCTGGGAACTGGAACGAAGTTTTTGGTTTATAAGTGGCCTGTCATTTTTGATTGATCATGTCTTTCAGTTTTATCAGCATTTACCAAAGACAAGTGAGATGACATCAGAACTACTTGTTAAATCTATAAGTGGTCTATCACTAATTTAGCATCTTTTAGTAAACAATATCATCAGATGATTTATTCTGCCTTTATTATAATAATAATAGAGCATCTATCTAAATGTGCCACTATTGTTTAAATGTTTTATTTGCAATTATCTTTCTCTTACATTGTGTTTTAGTTTATTCATTTTTAAAATCTGTGTATACATCAGGAAATCATGATTTGAAACATTGGGTATTAGTGGCAAAATCATATGCATGTGTATAAGAAGCTTTTTTGTGCACATCTGTTATCTGGCTGCTGTGCATATTTGTGTATACCTCTGTTTCCTGTAACTTATTTTAGTGTCACTATTTCTTAGGTCTTGCCAGTTTAATAAACTGTAAAACATTACTTCATTAGATCAGAAGCAGTCTGTGCGTTGTCATTTTTCTGAGCATTACTCAGTTTAATCCCCTCCCCATTCCTTTCTCTTTCTTCCCCCTCCTTTCTCCTTTCCTTTTTATTTTTGATACTGGGTGTGGAAGTCAGGATCTTTTGCATGCTAGGCAGTTACCTGCCGTAGAACTATATCCTCAGCCCAGGTTTGATCTTGATCCATCCTTCCTTCCTTCCTTCCTTCCTTCCTTGCTTGCTTGCTTGCTTGCTTGCTTTTTTTTTTTTTTTTTGTGGGTGAGGGGTTTGAGTGGGGGCCCTACACATGCCAGGTAATTAAGCTACACTCCCAATCCTGTATTTATTTTGAGACAGTCTTAGTTACCAGGTTGGCCTTGAACTCACTGGTTTTAATTTCTTTATAAAGTTTTTAGGTTGGTGAGTAGGCAGACATTGGAGATGGATAGTTTCATAACATTTTCACCATATCTTGCACATAGGCCATCTCAGTAAATATACAGAGGTTTGAGCAAAGCTTCCTTCCTCTTGATGTGGAAGCAGCCAAGGCAAATGAAGTAGGGAAGGCAGTGCCTGAGCATTCGCACACCTGCGAGTTATCCAGTCTGTCCTGCATGTCCTCATTGTGAATGGACAGGATCTATATGCAGCTTCACTGAGTAGGATTAGCATATTACAGGCATATTGTTTTCATGGGGGGGGGGTGCTTAAGGGAAGTGAGGGCCAAGTATAAGTAGGAGACATCTTTGCCCTGTTTGCTGGTCTTGGAGTTAGTCACACAGCTGAGCCACCCACTCTCATCAATGACTAGAGATGACTCACCAATGTTGTCTACAAAGACTTCTGCTGCCCTGTTGTTTGCTCATCCTGTTGAATACCATCCTTCCAGCTCCTTTATTGCTTTTCTTTCCACTTTGCTTCTTGCTTCCGAGAATTGGCATCAAGGCGCTCCGCCTGCTCTTCTCTCCATTTGCAGATACTTTCAGTCTCTGACTGCAGTAGATCCACTTCTGAAATAGCTGCACAGTTGTCTGTTGGACCATTACTGCCCCTCCTCCCCTTTTAAATTCCCCATTCATCACTCTAGCAACAACATCTGGAGTTGGTTTGTGTTAAGCTTTAACACTTGAGGTTGTACCTTCTATAGAAATGCTTATAATTTTTATTTTTTTCCTAATGGTTTTAAAATTTACTCTTACTTAGCATAAGTCATTAAAATTATTTGTGCTTCTGTGTCTTCTGTAAAAATGGCTTAATTCCATATTGAAGAATGACACTCAACATGACATCTGAAAAAGTCTTCAGCTGTGGTTTTTGTGTGTCATGTTAGTCACTTTTCTCGGTGCTTTTCTCCTACCTGACAGTTTACGAGAGAAGATTATTCTGGTTCTTGGTTTTCGGTTCTGGGTACAGCCCTTCCTGGTGGGGAAATCTGGGCAGCAAGAGTTTTAACCAACTGACACATCCATTGGTAGGAAGCAGAATCATGAATGCTGATGCTCAGTGTCCTCTCCTTCCCTCTCTCCCTGAATCCAGTTGAAGCCCTCAACCTGTGAAATGTTGCCTTGGCACCCCTATTCAAGAAAGGCCTTCCTGCTGCTCTTTACCTATTTTAGACAGCCTCCCCACCACATGCCCAGAGGCTTTTCTACTAGCTGATTCTGCCCCTGTCACACTGACAGTGTTAACCCTCACAGGTGGCTTTTGGTGCCAGGAAACTTCTGTTTGAATGGTGGTGACATGGGAGAATTGAAGTCACTGGGTTACTCTGACTTGGCCAGGCTTACAGGACTAAGATGAGCTCACAAAGAGGTCCCTATATAGATTTTGAAGCCAGACTGTCTGATTTTACTGTTTGTTTTCTATTTTATCTACCTGAGCCCCCAGTTGCAGAGTTGGAAGTATACTTTCTTTTTCATGAATCTCAAGTATTCTGAGCATAAAGCAACTCAGGATCATCCTTAAGGACCACTGTGTGTTGATGGCTTTGGTAGCATAGCTTGTCTCAGTCTGGAATAGATTGCTATTCTTTTCTTCTCAATTTGACTGCTGGCTGTCCTATGCTTTACTGGAATAAGTCTTAACAAGTTGGTATGTCTGGTGAATTTCTTGTCTGAATTCTCTATCCCATTCCACTGACCAAACTAAAGTTCTGTTGAGTTTTCATCGCTAAATGTAAGCATTGTTGTTACCAAACTGCTTAGGTTCCCACACTGCTGTGATGGGCCATAGGAAGGCCTGGCTCATCCATTTTGGGCATGATGCCACAAACAAAGCTGTTTCAGCATGAGCCCCCAGGTACCCTTAGATAACTAACTTCACTTCATGCATCAATTAAAGAAAGGAAACCAAACTTTAGTTCATAGTAAACATACTGAGGGGAACTATTCATTTAACCTGCTGCCTAAAGTAGTGTGACCTGGATGATACATTGTGAATGGGATCTCATGGCCTTTGTCTGAGCTTATCTTTGGGTTTCTCAGAAAGTTTATAAGTGTTAGATAATTACTGTAGAAATTTTGAAAAATAAACAAGATGGGGTGGGGGTGGAGAAATGGCTCATGTGTTAAGAGTTCTGGCTGCTCTTGCACAGGATCTGGGAACAATTCCCAATTCACATATGGAAGTTTACAGCTCTCTGTAACTGCAATTCCATGGGATCCAATGCCTTCTGGCCTCCACAGGCACTATGGACACTACACTCATGTGGTACAAAGACATATATTTAGGCAAACATTTATAAAAATAATAAAATCTCTTAAAAATTTAAGGAAAAAATGGTCCCAAACCTAGGGTTTATAAATGCAGTTTTATGTGACTTCTTAGCACTAAAAGTAACCTGACACTGTTGAGATGAACATGTACATAGTCCACTCAGCACAATCCTGGCCACTCTGTTTCTTCTTTTTGTTAGGATTTGGAAATGTAGAGTTAACCCATTCCTTGAGAATAAGAATTGCCACACCTGCTTTTTCCTCCTCTTCAGGCATACATATGGCCTGCCCTCAGTTTCACTGCGATTTGTTCCAAGAACCCTCTCAACTGAAATCTACAAGTGGTTAAGTGCATTATAGAAAACGATGTTATGAGGAAATGCTTATATGCAGCCTGTGTGTGCGCCTGTTTGCATTGTCTTTAGCTCCCCTGCCAACACAGTGCAAGGACCATGAAGTTACTGTTCATGGAATGATGGCAGGAGGGAAGGAAAACATGTTCAGAGAAGATGGGATGTTTTTCCTAAGTATTAAGTTAGGGATGCAGAGCTCAAGAATGGAAAACTGACAATAGCATTCATAGTTATGGGGTTAACCTTGTATACCTTATTTTCTGTATTATTGTATATATAATTTCACATGGTTACAACTCCCTGCTAATAGGCTGTCTTAGTAATTAATCTGGTCTCTGTTATTAGCTATCTGAACTGTTTCTTTACAAATTGATTAAAATATTTTATAGTAAATTTTATATTAGTTTATTTTTTACATTCCAATTCCAGTTCTCCCTCCTCCCATCTGCTCCTTGGAGAGGGTAAGGGCTCTCTTAGGAAGTCTACCAAGTCTGTCCCATCATCTCGTTGGCAGGACCAAGGCACCTCTCCACCCCCACACCCTTGTGTCTAGGCTTAATAGTCAATTTTTATGGAGAAAGTATTTTCGGTATGTCATAGTAAGTCAGTGTTTGTCATCTTCACAGAGCACACTGCATGTCCTTCACATTTAAATTAGGTCCTGAAGTTGGGCTTAAAACATCAGAATTAGGGCATGAGCCCCTTTTCATTGCTATAATGTTACTAGTTGATTAGATTGTAAGGTACATGACATGGGAGTAGGTTCAACCTTTTGGTAGTAATTTGAGATGACCTTGCTTGTGTAGAATATAGGTTGAGGATGCAGGCATGGACAGTAGAGGCTCACCCTAAGTCATGCCGCACCTGGGGCAGGGTCTGCACAGCTGTCTATTAAAGTGGCATTTGCTATAGGAGTCTGGGCTGCCATATATTCCCGTGGACTGGGCTGGGACAGTGAGAAGCAGAGATGATATTCTACATTTGCTATAACTGCCTCATCTACCTCAGCAGACATCAATCACCATGCTTTGATTTTGAGACCAAACCAATCTTAACACCTCTCTACTTTTTTACACATCTGCAGCTAATTGGTCAAATTGGTTTATTAGCTGGAATTTAACTATCTAAAGCAGTAGTTCTCAGCCTTCTTAATGCTGCGACCCTTTAATACAAGTTCCTTATATTGTGGTGACTCCCAACCATAAAGTTATTTTCCTTGCTACTTCATAGTTGTAGTTTTGCTACTGTTCTCAATTATAAATATCTGATAGGCGAGCCTCTGAGCTGGTCACAACCCACAGGTTGAAAACTACTGATCTAAGCTAATCTATGTTAAACAAAATAAAACAGTTCAACTGAAGTAGTTCAGCTCCATACGGTCAGCATACAACATATTCATCTATAAAAGCTCTCTGGTATATGTTACCATTGATATACTTACTGCTTTCTTTTATTTCTTTGTTTGTTTGTTTATTGTTTTTTTTTTTTTTTTTTGTTGTTGTTTTGTTTTTTTTTCTGGACAGGGTTTCCTCTATTGTTTTGGAGCCTGTCCTGGAACTCGATCTGTAGACCAGGGTGGCCTTGAAGTCACAAAGATCCACCTGCCTCTGCCTC